AACGCGCACGAACGGCCCCGTATTCAGCGCGGCGGTGCCGCGATACGCGTGTCGCTGTTGTTGTTGTTGTTATTGTTGTTATTGTTGTTATTGTTGTCGGTTGGTGGTGCCACCGCCGCCGCCGCCGCTGCTGCTGCTGCTTCTCGAACTTTTCTCTGTCCGGCCGCCGCCTGTTTCACCCGCCTCTCCTCTTCACTCCTCCTTTCTCTTCTCTTCCTCCTCTTCCACCGCCGCCACTTCTTACTCCTTTTCTCGTCCGTCCGCGCGCCTCGCTGGCTGCGTTCGCCCCGAGAGGTGCACGTAACAACACACACACGCACACGCACACACGTACGTACGGGGACGTACGGACGGACGGTACGGGTCGGGTACGCACGCGCGCGCGCGAACACACACGCACACGCACGCACAGTCACTCACGCGCGCGCGAGAGAGAGAGAGAGGCTGGGCAGCCCGATTTCTCGGACGGGCACTAGATTCGCGGACGGCGGATCGACGGCCAGGCCTCTCCGACCGCGATAGACATCAAGAACCGTCTTTTTTCGTTTCCCTCGAACGTCGCTCCTGTTTCTCGGCGTATACCTCTTTTCCTCTCTCCGCAAACGCGTTCCACGAGAGTTCAACAACTTTCTCCGTCCGTGTAGCCTGTTCGCGTACGTCCCTTGCGCGAGCTTCTCTTCGCGGATTCACCCGTGTCTCTCTTTCGTATTCCTTCGTTGTGTGTGTCCGTGTGTGTGTGCGTGTGCGTGTGTCGTGTGTATGTGCGTAGTTTGGTCTCTTCGCTTTTGTCCCGGTGACGACGTTTCCACTTGTTCCTTGCTCTTCTTCTTAGTTTCTTCCTCTTTGTTCGTATTTTCCTTGTGTTCTCTTATTTATTTATCTCTCTCTCTCTCGCTCTCTCTCTCTCTCTCTCTTTCTCTCTCTCTCTCTCTTTTCCTCTGTTTCTCTTGGCCTCTCTTTTCCCTTTTTTCCAGCTTACAAGCCTGACTTCGTCGGTTCTCTTCTTTCTTCACCTTCGTTTCACAACATTCACTGTAGGATCACATCAAAAAGCACGTGAAGGAATATCGAAACGGCCATGGAGTACGGGGCAAGAATACGACGCGCCGCTGCTCTACACTTCCTTACACGGAGTCGCGTGCGAGCGAACAGAGGAGCGTGTTCCGCGAACGATACCGCGCGCGGGACAGACGGGGACAGAGAGAGAAAGGCGGAGCGTCGGAGAAAACGCGAAACGGGGACGGAGGGAGAGTCGAACGAACGCGAACGGTACAATTGGAAAGAGGCGCTACAGCGAAGTCGCTAGGCGAGTCGAAGGGGTTGAGATTACGCGTGTCGCCGGTAATTTATCGCGGACGAGCCGAACGTACGTGAAAGAGAACCTGACCTCGATCGCCGCGGTCGGTTCAACTCGCTCGCGGCCGCACACACGCGCGCGCGCGCGCACGCCCGACGAACTATTATTTTCTGGTCAGGACGCGGGTATCGCGGACGGTGTGCACCGTGCATGTGAGCATGCGACCGCTTTACGTGCCGGCTACTTGTTCTCTGCGGCGACCTTGAACGCGTAGATCTTGCCGAGTGCAGCCGTGGAACAGGAGAAAACGGATCTAGACGTCGCGATATTTCAAACTGCCACGCGAGCTACCGCGACCGACCGTAATCGAATCTTCACCGTGACTGATCCCGGCTCGAGTGTCGCGCGAATCGGACGATAGGTGCAAATAAAACGTTAATCCCCGGAAGGCGGACGACTCTATGGTGGCTTCTCAAGCGATGACGCTTGGGTCCATTCGAATTTGATTTTTGACGGAACGCATGAATCTCCACGTTAGGTTTAATATGAACGGCTTCTAAGATAATCGTTGGGAGCTGAAATCTGAAACGTCTTCCAAAAGCTAAAATGAAACGCAACCTAACAGTTTTCCCATGCAGGGGTCAAGAGTGAATTGTACTCAGATGCGAATGGATGTTTTCGAGCTAGATATTCTTTAACTCGGTCAACTCGTCCCGCGGTCAACGATACCCATCAAACGCACCACGCATCACGGTGTACCGATACTTGGCGGTAGCAACGGAACGAGGCGAGCACACGCACGCGAAGCGGGGCACAAAGTCGTTCGCCAATAAAACCGCAATTTGCTCGTCAGAGAAAACGTACGTTGTCACAGGCGGGACAACACGCGGCAGATCTCCTAGAAACTCTAATCGCGAGCGCGGCCGATCGTGCAGCTCGCTTTGTGCTGGTTGGTTTCCCGTTCACGACCAGGAGAACACAGAAAGGCGCTCCCTTGGTTCCGTTCCCGACCGGACTGCGAGCGATTTTAAGTACACATGCACGTCACACCGCACAAACACGCCCACGCACACGCGCGACGCGAGTAAAAATGCTCGTATGCGATCGGCGGTATATCGAGTGCTGATTCCCATACGAGAAAACAACTGCAACACGGTCGGTGCACACACGTTGACTGTGCGTGGAACGTTCCGCGGTTACAGTACCACAGAGAGGGAGAGAGAGAGAGAAAGGGGAAGATAGAGGGAGAGTGAGAGGGAGGAAGGACGAGAGAGAAAGAGAAACGACACGCAATACGCGAAACGAATCTTAAGAATCACAAGTGTATGCCGCGTACTTGAAACATTTCCGTACGTTCCCGACAACTCTTTTTCTCTCTAATGTGGATGTGGTACCTCTCGCCTCTTGTGTACATGCACCGTCGAACGCGAGCGTGCGTGTGGATGACGTAGAAGGACCGAGTGTATTTCGACCCTATCGTCCACCTAGTGACATTTGGCACGCCGGATACGTTCGCTCGCACACGAAAGTAGGCGCAGCTGAGCGACGACGTAAAGAAAGACGGTCACTGTGAATCGGCACTGCCTAACACTGCTCCTACACAGGTTTTCGCGGGTAGAAAAAAGGGGGGGCTAGTCAGAACAAAGGAAAGAAGGCTCCAAACTGACCGACGACGACGAGCCCACGAGCCCCCGACGACGACGACGACGACTACGACAAGCCGACGAGCGAGCGACAGCCTGATACCTCCGCACTTCGCGAGCACTCTCACGCATTTATCGATGTCAAACGTCTCTGCACCGTCGAAGCATCAGGCGTCGTTTCTTACGTGCACGCTGATTGGCCAGTCGGTGCGCGAGTGCACTACCTCCGCCAATGGCCGCGGACAACACGGGGCTGCCGTACGAGCCGCCACCAGCACCGGTGGTGTCACGTGAATCTCATGCCCGAAAACAAAACAAACAGCTGGCCGTGTTCCTCGCCTCACTCTCTTGCACGCTATCGTGCGTGTGCTTTTCATGCACGATATTCCAGGACTATGTATTCCCTTCGTTCTGTATGATGCATGAAATTTGAAGAATTAGGTACATCCGAATAACCCTTCATTAAAACACTCTTCTTAATCGCGTTGAAGTTTATGATACTATCTACGAAATTAACATTGATATTATGTAAAATACATTTGGGGAAATTTATTTAGATTATTTGTTTATTCTGAATTTAGTTAAATATATACGGTGATATCTTTGAAAAATATGTTACAATAGGTTCAAAATATCAATTCGCGTCTTGTTATCTCGAGGGTTTCGGGGAAAGCATATTTGAAAATTCATATAATCGCGCCATCTCCTGCATCTCGCTTATCGTCACCCATACTTTTTCCATTGGTACTTCTGATTCACGGTACACAGAGCGTCTATAAGATATCGGGTTTGAATTTAACGAATCTGGGATGTGATATAGAAAAATTTGATGATTTTGAAAATGGTGATAGTGAAAAATACACACGATAGTAATGTAAGACCTCAAATGTATGTATTCCTGCCGTTTCATCAAAGGTTAGAAGACCGTGTACACAATGCGCTGTTTGTATATGAAGCTAGCAAGGAATTAGTAAGTTTACATGAAATTTTCTATTTCTCCGAAAATATTGAACAGAAATTATAATTCATCGATAATGTGTTAAAAGAGCAACAAAAAGTTTAATAAATTATCAGTGGAGATTATTTTCATATCTCAAATAACGTATCAACGTAGTTGGTACTTACTGAACCATATTTTTATTTCATCATTTTTCGCGAATCTTAAAACAGTAATGTGTATTTAAAATTCTATTTTACAACTGCCACAAATTTAAACAATTGCAATTTATTGTATGTGTTTATTTCTATTATCCCATGTATATTTGAGGTAGTACACATTTATACAATACTTACTGAGTAGTCATATATTAAAAATAATACATATTTTAAATACTAATAATCTTCTGAAATGAATTTTAATTGTAAAGAATTAATAGGCAAATTTTTGTTAAATTGTTTAAATTTATATTCCTATTATAATACTTCTGGTATATAATAATGTTTCTATAAGAAAATATTTATTTAATATTCCAAAAATTAAGATTTTTCGTAGTAAACAAATAATACTAATTTTGTACATAAATGTAATGTTTATACTTTATTTGCTTTTTAAAAAATTAAAAATTATTCCATTACATTCGAGATACAGGAACTATATCCATTAATGAAAGTGCATTTTGTAGTACAATTTGTAATGCACGTAACATATATAATCTTGCAATCATCATTGGAATTAAATGGTCATATGCTTCCTATAAAGAAATATCAACATTTAGTTGCATATTAATCACTTAATATTTATCATATTGTAACTATTAAATACCAATAATACTAACAGTTAAAATCCTAATTCTGCGATAATACACACTAAACTTTTGACATAATCGTGATAAAAATGTACATAGGACATGGGGATTAGTTTGAAAAGTGGGCTCATATTTTATACAATCTTTTATCATTTCTTGATATCCAATAATAAAGTTATATATAAGTCCCCATTCTTCCTGCAAATAATGCATTTGATAAATTATTATAGTTTTTCTTTTGATAAAGTAAAATGATAATTGAAAAATCCTTAAAGAAAATACCTCTTGATCTAGTAAAGAAAAGTTTACATCATTGATATTTGGTAAATCAGGATATTCTCCTGCTAATTTTTTATTATTGTATTTTTCAATAATAGCTGTAATTCTTGTAGCATTATACAATATAAAGGAAGCACCTAAAAACTGATAATAATAGAAAATTTTTGTTTAGGACTTTTGATAAACACATGATATGTTTTAAACTCTTAAAACCTTTAGTATTTGTGGTGCTTCTATCGGTCGCAGAATTGTATCCAATGAAAACAGCACGACTTGGTTTTACAGACAGTAATTCAAATGTAACTGTCGCTGTTGCAATATTTTTAAGGAAATGGTCATCAATCCTTATATTACTTTCAGGCATATCAAAATTTTTCTGATCGTTTAATGTTTTCAATTCATTAATTTTACTTTCTATGTATTTTTCCCATGTTAACATTGTTTCTTTAGTATTCGTTTCCAAATTTTTCACTACTCCACATACACTCTTCTCATAATTGTTTTCCACTTTTCCTTGTGATTTACTTGTAAATACAAATTTGAAGTTGGCATCTTCTTCGCCTATTTTACAGCCATGGAGATCCAAAATATTTTTAGTGACAACTTGTATTAAATGTAGCCTTGCAGTTGTTAGTTCAGATTCTTTGTCTTGATGTATTTTCAAACTGAAAATTTTATTAATTGGTAGAATTCTTCCAAATTCACTCTGTTGTTCAATAACTGTCCTAATTGAATTGTGTATAATAGGAGCACGTTGTAGAAACAAACAGATTCTTTCTTTTTCCAAAAAATATCTCTCTATTTTGATTGGCCAGTCACTGCTAGATGATATTAACAATGATAAAACCTGTGAAAGTCAATATTTGGTATTAATGAAACAAGGTTATGTATGATGATTTCATAACACTTATTTTCTATTATAATTCACCTCTTTAGCAATTTCTGTATCAGTCTTGTCATCTATTTGATCACCGTGCACATGTAGATAATGTTGCAAAATTGTTGTGCACTTTCCATCACAAACATCTTTACCTTGAAATACATTCTTCCATACTTTGAGGCTAGGTAAAAAATATAATTCACCATTTGTTGACAGATTGTCATTGCTTACTTTAATAACTGATGTGTTTGTACAATCATTACCACTTAAATACAATATTATATTGTTAATGAGTGTTCCCATGCAAATGGGTGATAAATTTTCCATTTGAAACTCCATAAGTTAAATACTCCAATGAGAACTAGACTTCTCCTGATCCAATATGAATTTATAATACTCTTGATGTAAAATTTTATAATCTGTTACAATTAATATAAAAGACGGTAGAATTTTATTATCTTAATGATTTAATAGTATATTCAATGTAGTTTCCCTAAACATATATGTGCAAGGGATTTTTGGTTTTTCAAAAAGCCCAAAGAAAGACATCAGGAATGCAATAATTTCTCCAATGATTTCTTTATTAGAATTGGAAAGTAAATTGTGCAAATAAGTGTTTGCAAATAGTAACATTAAATATATTATTCGCTATACTTATAAATACGTTTATGTATCTTACAAAGTCATCAAAAAAGGAAAAACAATTTTTCTAATTAAGCGTATCTAGGATAACGATCAATCGTTAAGTAAAATACTTGGCCGTAATACATAAATAATACCTAGAATTTACATCTTTGATATTAGTTATCACATAGAATGATGGTACTTAACATAAGCTATCGCAGCGAGTTCTTTGCAAAATTCTTCCGTGACGATTACACTCTCGAACAAAATATTCTCCTTCTCCCTACAACAAAGACAAAATAGATAATTTTAACCCAAAAAAAGATGAAATATGCGAACAACATTTTACAGGACACCTGAAATTTCAAATCCCACTATACTCTTTTAATCCGACAAACAGTTTCATTGAACATTTCAAAAGTTACATTTTCACACAATTTTCTTCTTAATAAATTCCCGTAGTATATACAATTTTGTATACACATCGCATTGGAAAAGAAATATAAAATTACAAAAAATTTTGACTTCTAAAAAAAATATTGCTACCCTATTGAGTTTTCAAGGAGACGCACCAGTAGCCAGATTCTTCAACCAAGTAATCAAAGTATAATCTTTACTACTATAAACGCAAGATTTGGTCCAAAGTGTCCCACAAGATTACATATTTCGATGATTTTATCACGAGCTTTTACGCACCCTTCGTGGGAACAATCTTCAAGGAGACGTTCCCTCGTCTCTTTCAACATTTGCTTGTGATCCGGCGTCTTTGGTACTTCGTTCACGAGCTGCTTGACGACTTTTTGCAAGCAAGTGAACAAGTTTTTTGTGCCGGGTGCCAACGGTAGTAGCGGATTCAGTAAAAATTCATGCAGGTACGGATGAGGTAACAGCGCTAGCCTCGAGATCACCACGGTCAACTGAAGGTTGACCTCGTACTTTTGTCGTGGAATACTGGCCACCTTTTCGAAAAGCATGGCCATGAACGGGCCCATGTAAAACCGCACGGAACAGTGGTCTGCTTCCGGTCTAGAGTCGGAGCTTGCGGAATCGTCGACGGTCACCGCTTCCAGCGGCCACGCCATCAGCGAGCAGTCCGATAGCACAGTAGAATACTGCCTCTCCAAGTCAGCCATGTAACGCTCGTAATTATTCACGTCCGTGTCCGTCTGGAGATAGCGCGGAATCAGGGACAGGAAGCTGCAACGGAGTTTGATATTGAATTTCTATTCGCTCCGTCACAATATATTTTATCAGGTCAAGTTCTGAGGAAATTGCTGATCACGTGAATTCGTAAGATAATAAAATATATTTTTACGTGACATGACACTTGTTGGGTATCGTTATGACGAAAATAAATTTTATTCCAATTTTGTTCTTATAAATTGACCTACGAAATAATAAGAAACGTATTTTAGGTATCTGTGAAAGAGATTTAGGATTAAGCTTTTTAAACTTTTGCAATAAAAAAATTAATATTGGCTTGAAGACCGCGGTGAAAGGAGCAGGTAATTTCTGCTTTATTTCTTTTTGAAATAAATGTTTATAGGTGAAAAGCAGAATTTTTTTTTTGGAATATTGTAGAAGCAACAAGATTATCATTCGAAATGAAACTATGAATATTAATTAAAGCATAAAATTTTCAAGGGTTTCCTTTGTTCTTTTATCTAAATATAAAAAATATTAGGAATATTTTCCTACACGGAACAGATAGCGACCATTATTGTTAGAACATAAACGAGCGAATAATAAAATTTACCAATTTACAATTCTGTGAATATTACTGGGTGCTAGTGTTCGACTATGGCTCTGTTCATAAGAGAGATCTAGAGATCCTTTCTTTTCTCTTTCTCTTTCGTCCTCCTCGTCGCTCCACGACGCAATTGCGCTGTCCGCAGCAGTATTATCGTAATAGCCTCTAGTTGACAAGTATACCAACACGAGACAATGCAATATATGCTCGTTCCTTTTTTCTATCATTTCCTCGAATAACTTTAACGTTTCCAGCGTTAAATCATCGCTGTCGGTGAAACAGTTGTCTATCAACCTGTGCAACACGGGTGACGTCCACACGTTTGGAATTTCTGGGCCTCGATCTTGCCCGACTAGCCAGTAACTTATTTCTGAAAGAAATATTCATTGTAATGTGAAGAATGACTAAAAATAGCTCATTTCTGAGGAACGGAAATCGAGTTTGAGTGTTGAATAGCCAACAGAAAGATTGGAAAGAGGGATTACAATCTCTGATGTTTAATTTATAAATTTTTAAACCTTACGAAGCTGACTGAAGAAGCAATTAACGATAGAATCTACACACCTGTACACAACGCAGCGGATGTTAACTCCTTTAAACATTTCGTGACCAACGCAGTGATCAGAACAACATGATGTTCAGCCAAGGCTGGTGTTACGATCTTCTCAAAAAAGTTTACTTTAATATTCTTCGCGAGTGCATCGGCAACATCCGGATAAGCTTCCCTTATCAGTTGGTTGCAGTAATCGAACCACATAAAAAACGCGGCGACCTGTCTGCATCCGGAGAACTTTTTCTCCTTCGTCCAGGCTGGTGAGTCTAAGCCCCACGTGACGTCCACTCCGTCGATCTCGTTTGGATCAACGTGTGCTGGAATAGCGTTGAAGAGATTTTCTAATCTACTGGGTATCGAAGATATTAAATCGCTATTGGCCATCATCTGGCCAAAAGATGGATCATCCAAGGACGCAAGAACCATGATCCCCTCGCAGGCTCTTATTCTCACAGTATTGTCCTAAAAAAAAGAATTTAATTTTATTATTAGAGAAAATTATGCTTTGTTAGTATTACAATTTGCATTTTAGTTGATAAATTAAATTTATCTTGTGATAAAGTGAATGTATTTTTTAAAAATCAATATTTATGGAGAGCCGAAAACGTATTTGTGTATTCGGTTTTTCCGCAATAACTTCATGTAAAAAAATGTATTGACGTAAGACTAGTAACCATACACTTAACACCTACGTGTTATAAAAAAGGTGACAAAAAATTTATTTGCAAGTGTTAAATCTTTATTCGTTGATATTACGTCACTAACTAGGAAGAATGGTAATATGAAACAATTAGGAATGGGAGGTTTTCTGCTAGTATATTTTTTCAAATCTCTATACAACTCATACATGAATTCTTTGTTACTTTTTTTCATAAGTTGTTTTCGTTAAGTGTATAGTTACTATGCAGTGAGCAATGTACACATGCTTTAATCATGCATTTTTTAATTATAAAACGTTTCTAGACGAATCATTATCTTTGCGTACAATGAAGTTCTAAAAGATCCAGATTGATTACTCTGAAAGGTTTCAATATAAAAATACTCTCTTCAACCTCTACACTTTTAATCAATTTCATTCTATTAAACGGTTTCTAACTCGATTACTCCAAACTTAATGCCTTACCGCAGTGTTTACGTAACTCAACAAGGCATCTAGTAGAAGGCATTTAGACTTCTGCGGTGTCTTCGATTCCATCAAGCACTGACCATTCTCTATATAGCTACCATCCTCGTAACCACCGTATTCAGTATCTAGCCTGAAATCTCTCAGATTCTGCAAATGTGTGTCTATTTCATTCATTAAAGCCATGTCCTCGCACTTCTGCGAGGTCTCATACTCCTGACCTTCGGAGCTCGGCGCTGCGACTCTCGAGCTAGACTCGGAGATCGGTTTCTGAGTGGCGGGACTAGAAGATTGGGAGGCGTTTTCTACCTCCGTGGAAGATACCGATTCATTCGATTGGCTCGACGTTCCTCGGGCCGCCTCAGACTTGTTCGACGACCTACTAACCCCAGGGAATCGTCTCCTATCATTCTCCGAATGAAATAAATTCGGATTAATCAGGGTCACCGCCTGTGTGTCCAGAGGTTCAAACAACGGATTGAAATTACTCCTCTTTCTAGTGGGCACGTAAGTGACCTTCTCGATCTCCATTCGTTCGGAGTTCAATCTGGCGGCGACATTCTGTTTCTGAATGTTCGGAGCATCATTTATGATGTTGGTCACATGGGGATACTTGCAAACCAGGAAGCAGATGGTAAGAAGGAACTGGACCTCCTCGGCTTCCATAGGGGATGGAGGATTCCCATTGCACAGAGTGATTAACCGTTGCACCGGGCCATAGATCGATGTGTGGTGTAACAAAGGGTACTTCGATCTTCCCAGCAACTTCCTCAGGAAGGACAAACATACTGTCCTCATTCCTGGGGGAGTCTCTGCGCTGGCCAACGTGGCCAATAGGTCCAACAGCTTATGCTGCAACAAGTACTCCAAACACGGGCCTGGTTCATCTTCGTCCTTCTCCTCCTCCAAAAGTATCTCCAGCAACCTGTCCAAATGTCGGGGTATACCGGTAGTCTGTATGGGCACTTTGCAGTTGGTCAGGTGGTTCACATAGAAGTTCATCAACAGTTTCCAGTGGTACGTGAAGTCCTGCAGCGGCGTGGCCGGCGGCGCGATCTGCAAACAAACCGCAGACCATGTTAACAACCGGGTCGCACCAATACCGAACACCGGCGGCGATCGTGTTACATTTTTCTCCCGGTTGTTGTTCAGGAAAGCCAAGTAAGGCGCAAAACACGCGGGAAGGTTATTAAATGTGCACATGATAATGAAATGACCGTCGAGACAGGTGCGCTGGTCTATTTAAATAATTACATAAGAGAAGTTAAATATAACGACGCACATGTGCGCGTCCGGTCAAACCACATTCATACCAGAATGGACACCCTCTGGTGTCCCCTTGATTGATCGCGAGCATACCGCCAATGATCCCGTCACCGGTAGTAAACAGAATGGAGCTTCACGAACCGGGTGAACGAAAAACCGTGAAGGTGATTAGGAACATGGGTGTGGAGCTGGTTTTATTGATGGTCAAAGGCACGGCGTGCAGATCGATAGACGGAACGTAAATAAATACACAGGGACGCGAAACAGTGCGGAATAGCGACGTAACGCGTGCGACGCCGATCGATGAGGACTCTGCCTTAACTGTTTCTTGTTTATCATGATTCGTACGCGTACGTGAGACCGCCGGATGAACAGGAACGAACGATTCTCACTGTTCGATGGGAATTACACGTGAATCATTAGCAGCGTGACGGAATTGCGACGTGAAGAGCTTATCAGTAGTGGGGTTATCACTCACCACGTCAATGGCATTCTTCAGCGCGATCTGAATGCCACTAATCATTTTAATACACCTTCGGGTTATGTCGTCGCCGGTTATGTCTCGCTACGCACGAGCCTCGCCGCCGTTTCTCGCGCGGTATCGCTGCGATTCTGCATAGTTCCTCATCGTTCGCTCTCGCGATTCCCCGTGCAATCGCTCACTGTCCCTGCGACAGCGGTGCTTTGCGGCTTTGACGTGCCGTGGTTCTCACTGCAGCTCACCAGAGGCCGACAGGATCGTGAACAAATTGCGACGACCTTACGCGCTGCGTCGTAGGGGGGAAAACGCGGAATCGTTTGATCCGTTGTTTACTAATCGATCTCGTCGATAAGAATTAATGGTCGATAATTATTATAGACACTGGGTCGCGTCTGCTATAATAACGCCTTTGTTCGGAAGTTATTGACGGATTATTTGCGTTCTTTGAGAAAATGGAGTCACGTGCGAACCACCTGGTGGTAGGAGCAGGAAATGTTGATGTTATGACTGCATTTTGTAATTGCAACATCGTTTTATCGAATATTTCGAGCTTTCTCTTTAATACTGCATGGAAATGTAGGTGTACTTATGTTGTTTGTTGGAGAAGATGTTAATATTGGCACGACGACCTGTTAGAATAAAAGAAAATGGTTGTTGGTAAACACTTTAGAAGCTTCTTGCACAATAAAATATGAACTCATTGTTGGATTGCGGAAGTTTTTATATTTATATCAATGTGACTAAAACAATGAAGTATATAATACGTTTACTTCAATGTTGGCGCATTAAAAATAGGGATCGAACAAATGAAGTTCCGTTTAGTTGTACTGTTTGCTACAATTATGAGATTTTTTTTGCATGATTCACAAATTATTCGTAATGTTATCAAATTCTGTCAATTTGTATTTTATTGTATGGAAAATTGCTAGTTGTGGATATAAGAGATAATATTGCTTTCTTCTATCAAAGAGAAATAAAAATTGTAAATTCTACGTCTTATTCTAGAAAAAGGGCAGAATGATCACTAGAGATATCGTTGATTATTATTCGATCAAAGCATTTCAGGACTCAACGCTTCAAATATACGTAATTCACACATAAATCGGATTAGTTATAAAACACACACGTTTTATTGATCCCAGAATCAAAAGAAGCTCTTATCAAATAAACAGCTGTCTCAAAAAATATAAAAGTACACGTTGAAAATATTTCTCGTTACTTTGGTTATTAATCAGTAAACGTTTAATATCCTTCGAATTGATATTCATTCGCCTTATAAGTTCACTGCGTCATTTAGCGTATCCTCCATTCGACAATGAATCTGCAAGTACATCAGTGGCCTTGAGTATAATAACTTCTGATTAAAATACCTCTAAGAAATCTCATTTATAACACTTTAATCCTGCACGTGTAGAGTAGAAATCATCCATAGATACGGTCGTCTCAGCGTTCTAAGAGCAAATAAATAGGTTGGTCGTTGACATCGGAAGGTAAACGGGATTTACGATAATTTTTATTTTGCACCTTCAACATGTACACATCTCAACAACATTAACCAGTTCGTTAATTGTAAAAAAAGTCGCGACGCTCCGAAAGCGGTGATGTCCCGTCGCTGAATGATCGGCCGGAGCCGATATCAGCGTGTTACCGATAACGAGTTTCACCGTTCGTAATTTTCCTGCTCTCCCGATCCACGGAGCAGCGCAGGTGCGCGCTCTTGACGGAAGCCAATCCGCAAAACGAAATTTGCCACGCGTGCAAAGATATTTATAACAAACGTTTCAGGCAGGAACGGATCAAGCGTCTCTCGGAGCTGTTGATTTTTCTTACGCAACTTAGAAGTGTAGTTCGATGCTCGACTAAAAAGAACGGATGCCGCGTTATAGGAATCTCGCCTTCACT